GCATCCAACAGTACCCTTTTACACACTCTGTATGCTTCATAAGAAGTTCCTAAAACAGGCAGTTCCAGCCCTACCTAAATAAGTATTTTAAAATGGAATTCACCTTTTTCCTTTAGTGGAAGCTGTAAAGATGGGTACATGGAAGGATCTTTTTATGCAGGCTTTTTGTAGGATATATTTGAGTTTATCAAGGCATTGAAGATTAATGTAAGCTTGCATACTACATGAGTAATCATTTTTGCGAGCGCAATTAGTGTCGGCGGCTGCAAAGAGGCACATTCAAAAGCCGCCATTGTGGCATAATTGAAATATCTAGGGATTATGTTGCATGATAATGAGTAGTTGAATCCAAATAATTAAGCCCTTCTAACCGAGATCATATTTCCAAATTTCAGGAGAAACAACTGTAACTGTAACTGTTCCAAAATGCTTAGCTTATTGCCTGCACGTTAGACCCCTTTTTCAGCGTCTCCTGACTACTGACCTCGTGCTTGCCCGACTTTCCCACTCCTAGAGGGTGAGCAAGTGGCCGAGGAGTCCTTGCTCAATCTTGCCCAAAACTTGGGTGAACGTGTTCGTGACTGGGAAAAGTTTCGGGACCATGACCTGCATCTCGCCCAATGCTTCAACATCACCACAGAGATGGGTGTTCGTTTGCAAGAGGAGAGTCTCCGTGGCTACTGCATGGCCCATATCCAGTCGCTTCTACCTGCAGAGCCAGAAGACAATCGGGTAAGAATGGCTGAGTCTATTTCCCCCCGTTTTCCCTCTTCTTCGCTTAGCAATTGTCGGACGGCCTATCTGGTCCTGTATTTGATCTTTTACCCTTCGGACTTTCTTAGGATTTGTGCGCCGCGGTCCTCAGTATTATAAAATGACGCCCATTCAGAGTTCCACAGTGCTCTCTTGCAAGTCTGCCCTTCTTTTGGCTTTTGAAACAGGCTTTCAAGTTGCACTGAACTGATTTCTCTGCAAGACTTTTAGAAAGGAAGGAAGGAAGCAGGAGGCTCGTCGCTTGCTCTAATTATAGCTTTATTTGTCTGAGCTTTCGAACTCTTACTTGAGTGCAGCATAAGAGATAGAAGTAGCAAAAAAACCAAGCCACAGTTTTAGGAGGGGCACAGGCGCCGATCAAACACTACTGACGTCAGTCTGGGGGTGGCTGCACAGAGCTCTATACGCCGGCACCAGATTGCTAAATCGATTGAGTGGGTTCTCTTCAGAGGCGCTGGCTTAAATCAATTCTCGGCTTGTCTTGCTTCTGGCATAGGCACTTATCTTCTTAGCTGTGAAGTTAAACTCGTGACCCAGACAGCTTATGATCCAAACAGGCATCCAGTCTGTTCTGTGCAGTTTCGAGGACAGTTTAGACATGGTATGCGGTACACTACACCCGACCCTGCGGCGCGTAGTAACCTTGGCCCGAGGCGAAAAGAGCCATAATTCCAGCGAGCGACGAGCCTAATTCGTGATTAATCATATAATTGGGAGGGGTGGGCGTCTTGCTCAGGTGTGCAATGACAGTCCACCCCTAGTTGTTGTGGCGTTGTTTCCAACCGACAGCAGCTGCCAAGATGCTGCTGTCTTATCCGGCCCTCGTGTTCTGAATTTTGAGACGCCGTAGTTGGATCCTATGACCTCGTTTCGCGCCACTTTAATCTCGCAGCGGCGCTTTCAAAGCCAAAGGCAGACACACTTACCGTCGCCTCGAACCTTTCAAGTGTCTTGGCTGACGGAACTATGGGTTGTTTGGGGAATCAACGCATCTGCTTTTAGTGTGGGTGCCTGGATAAAATAGTCAGTACGATTCGTCTCTACCTAACGAACTTGTTTTATGCCATTCCATCTACAGAA